CACTCATTCCATTGCTCTCTCTTTCTCTCTGCCTGACCTTGATGTCTGAGTGTGAACTTGAGAACTTAATTTTCCTAGAGGGAATTGCATTTGGGTCCAATCATCTTGTTAGGAGGCCATGTCCTATTGTCAAGCGGGGAATTGTCTTTCTGCCTTTCCAACATGCTAGTGGCGCTTGCTTATTTATCAGGACTTCCTGTCTGCTAATTTCATGCTTCACTTCAATTCAGTCCCTTATTGAACTCTTCTTATTTTCCAGTCTCTGCTAGCAGCCATGGACAGAGCCACAAGTGGGACACAGTCCCCAGCCACAGATTATAAATATAAATAATGACAGTATACAGGGATGATGCTGTAAGAGATTTATTTATTTATTAATCAAGTACTGTGAATGCCCCAGGAGACGTTAGCTGATTCTTTCACCCTGTGAAAAAAAATTAGAGGGTTTCAGGCAGGAAGCAAAGTTTGAAAAGGGTCTTGAAGGATGATAAGGAGGCGAATATGCAAAGAAGCAGATGCCCATCCCATGTTGAGATCATTGGACAGTTACTTTATTACCTTTCCCCCTCTTGAAGAACTACTTCTCAAATTTCAGTGTGCACACTAACCACATGGGGGATCTTGTTAAAATGCAGATTCTGAATCAAGAGGTCTGGGTGGGGCCTTAGAGTCCGCGTTTTTAACAAGCCTCTGGGTGATTCCCATGCAGTGCCCACACAGCTGGCCCATTCACTACGCGCTGAGTAGTCAGTCTTTAACAGCTTATTTACCTTTTACCAGAATATGCAGTGTGCCTTTACATGTATGGCCCAAATTGGCTGCAGGGCCTGACTTTCCCCAGGGTAGAGAAGGGCTGGTCATTTGCAAAAGGGCCCCCAGCTCTTCCACTCCCAGAAGGTGGTTATTCCTCAGGTATAGCCCACTGAGCCCAACATGTCCCCCAGATTTGAGCAAGTGATATATCCGAAGTCCATTTAAAGCTTGGGAGCCCACATATTTGGCTTTTAATCCTGACCTTAGGATACATGGGGAAATCACACATCTGTAAATTTTAGAACAATTGTAATGTTGTAAAATTGTGGTCTTTTCAAAGAAGGCACTCTGTAAGACATACTAGTTGTCTTGCCAATGGGTTTCAGCCCTGGGCAAGTTCACTATGGATTCAATGTGACCAAAGAAATTGACAGCAGAACATTCTCTGGGGTGAAAGAGTTTATTACCTGGCTTGTCCTCGGGCAGTAGGTCGAGCACTAGCGTCTCTACCTCTGCCCAGAGCACTGGGCCAAGCTCTCTATATAGCTCAATAATAGCTTATTGCCTAAAGGTGTGGAAGCAGTAGCCTAGCAACAGGCCAGTTACATCATCAGGTGGTTTAAGTTCGGTGAGGATCCTGGCCATAGGAACCCCAACTTCCCCACACTAGTATTCAATCATTATGTAAGTGTACATTCAGAAATCATTAAAAAGAAAATAAAAGATCTCCATAGACCACAGCTCCCAAATTCCCACACTGCCAACCCCTATAGGAACAAGGGACATAGACCCACATTCCCGATCAACTGGGGGGAGGCCAGATTTAGGGGAGGTGGGATGGGCAGGGGGAAGCCTTAAAAGCAGTGAGTCATTTTTGGAATAAGGGCCCCACATGAAAGCTGACTGGCTTCGCATAATTTCAGTGCATATGTCCGATGAGCCTGTGTCTTGGAGCTGTGTGTGAGATGCATCAGTTGCCGCAGGAGCAATGCAGCTGAGAGAGGCTGTGGCCAGCTTCCCGTCAGCTGTTCTGGGCTAATTTGGGCCTTCGGTGCTGGGGCGGAGCGAGTGCCAGGAAAGCTGAACAGGGCCTCTCTGGGGCTAGAGTAAAGCCAGGCTGGTGGTCAGATGGGATGCTTAGGGCACACCGTCCTCAGTCCACCCTCTGTGAGTCACAGTGCTGAGTGGAAATTGAGTTGTTTCCATCTCCTGAGGGTAAAATTGCCCAGTAGGGGACGTTCGCTTTCAGTGGGTCCATTTTTGCTCCTTTCCTCTCCTTGGCATGTAGAAGTCCCCACTTAGAGATGATCCCTGGTCCCCAGCCGCAGGCCCATCAGAGCCTCCCCAGATGCTGCCGTTCCCCCATCCATGGAGTGCCTGTCTTGTACTTCTCCCTTGCCTACCAGTATTTGTGAATCCCTTGAAGGCAGGTCCCCAGGGCTGAGTAGAGAGACCAGGAAGGATACATGAGCACCTCATTTCCTTGGCGTCCTCTAGAAATGCCCTCAGCTCCAGGCCAGGGACCAGCCCTCCCGCTCATCCTGCCTTCTTGGCGGGGGCCTGAGAGTAGTGTGCATGCGCTCAGGGCTCAGCCCCGGGGGGAAGGTGTTGTTTCAATGGGGGGCAGTGGAAGAAATGTGAGAGCTAGGACTCCACACGGAGACTGTGAACGCTGTTCTTTCCCAAGGTTGCAGCCACCTCACCTCCCCTTTTGGATTTCTCACATCACTGGCGGAGTAAGTTTTCCCAAAATGGACTATCTGGAGGTCTTGTGGGATCACACAATCCACTCCCAAGCATCTGGGCTAAATTTTTTTTTTTTTTAAGTTCTTGAAGTTAAGAAAGAAAAGGCAAAAGACAGTTTCTTTAATCAACCTGTTATCCGGAGTCCCCAAACCTTGGACTTAGCTGATCAAATCTCATATCCATTAATAACAATACTAGTAATAATAGTCATCATCATTTGAATAAATACTTGGCCATTTACAAAGCCCTTTTATACTATTTTCTTTTCAATCTCTCAGTCTTTGTGTCCCTTCCATTTTACAGGTAAGGATGCTAAGGCTCAGACAGGAGATGTGACTCAGAGAATGATTACCTGGGCAAGGAACTCAGAACCCAAGTGCTGGCATGTGAACCCTGTGTTCCTGGCCCCCTCTTACCTCTGAGCCAGTGCTCCACTGCATCACATCTCAGAATGGCTTCCTCTGCAACCCCCGAGGTGCTGGCTGCCAGGCCCACCTTTCTGCGGGGAGTGGGGTCATTTCTGACTTCTGGTCCTCCTTTTCTTTGTACTGAGTAATCATTGCTCTTCTCTGTGGAAAGTGTGGCCTGGGGGCTGTTTCCCTGGGAGTTTGAAGCTGGAATAGCCCTTCAGAGAAGCTTGAATTGAGGCAAAGGAGTGGACCTTTGTAGGTAGGATGGAGCAGTCATTGGATGTGGGCTTTCTCTGGGATGGGGTATTACCCTTTGGCCAAAGGCAGTGCCCTGTGGGGGCCTCAGTGTGAGCTTCGGCCCCAGCTCTCTGGCAGCTGGCAGATGAGCGCCTGGATCCAAAAGCAGGACCCGGGCCCGGGGCACCACAGATGCCCTGTGAACCTGCTGGACTCTGCTTGGGGCAGTGCTGGTGTAAGGCACCTTTTCTATCAGTACCCTGTGAGCAGCTACCCAATGGGTGGCTGTTTTTGAAAGAAGACGATCCACCTGGTAAGGATGTCAGTATAGAGCACCCAGCAGGGAACATGGCCCTAGAACTTGGGGCTGGAATGCAGGTGGGCATTGAGAGGGCAGCTCTCAGGTGTGGAGACAGCAGCTTCTCCCTGCTGGGATGTCCAGCCTCACGTGTGAGCTAAGACAGATCTCACGGTAAAATCTGCAGGGCAGGATCAGATACGCCCTGGGACCCCAAGACGATGGACTAAGACAAGAGCATTTTTACCTGCTGCTGGTTGAGACCAAAGACTGGTGGGGCTTCTAAACCTTCTTGTAGCCACCCTTCCCCATATGGAAGTGGCTGTGAGCAGGAGTTTGGGTGCGTTGTCTTCCTTGCAGGTTTCTGGAAGGGCCTCTGGTCCTCTGTCAGTGGGAGAGGTCTACTGTTTGCCAGATTTAAGTCCATTCAAAGAAACCCAGATTTCTTCCCCCCTTAACATGGAAGTACTTAAGATTCCTAAGTAGTTCTTAACTTAGGAAGTAACTAGGAATTTTTCTTCCACTTCGAAGCTTAAATTTGTTACAGGCAGTGTCTTGGAATTGGCCTGTGATCCTTAATTTTACCTGACGCTCACTGAATCCTCAGTATGAGAGCTTCTGCACAGGGCCTCGTAGAACTTTATGCCACCTTTTTCCTGGGTGAGTCTCATTTGTTGCACTGAAGCAGTGCCCTTAGGGACATTCTCTGCAGAAATGCTTTCTGTGTTCCCCGCGGGAGGAGAGTAGATTCTCTGTTGCCACCGTGCCTTTGCCTATGCCATTCCTTCCACTTGGAACGCCCGTCTTCCCTTCTCTGCCTAGAAAGCTCAGAAGCATCTTCAGGTATCTACTCCATGGCTGGGTTCCACGGGGCTGGCCTGGTCATGCTTTGCTCTCAGAGTCACACCCCTCCACAGTGCGCCCACCTTACCCACTTCGAGCCCACCTCGTGGTGCTACTCACTTTTTTTGGGGGGTCCCAGTGCCGAGCCTGGTACCTGGCACACAGTTGTGAAGCAGCCAACTGCATACTGGGCCCTTACCTACTATGTACCAGGCACTCTTTAACCCTCGTAGCATTTCCATGAGGTTCAGGCATTCTTGTTACCCCTGTTAAAGATGAGGAAACAGCACTTTCTTGGGGAGTTGGCAGTAATTTGCTGCCAGTGGGGCTGGAATACAGACTAAGTCTGGCAGCTTCTGGACTCTGTGCTCTGATTCCGAGTGTAGGTTTTGGAGAGTTGCTAGGCGAGTGATGAATGAACAGGTGGCTGGGATGAGCACAGCTCCTGCTGATGGAGGCATGCAGCAGGTAAGCTGTGGTGAGAGGAAGGACAGGCAGCATTCCTGGCCGGGCTGAGCCGGGGAAGGCATGGGGAACAGGCCGAGGGCAGGCCCAGAGCAAGGACTGGAAGGAAGGCAGACTTGTCTCTTTAGCACTCCATCCTGTGACCCAGTGCTGGGTACCTGGGAAAGGCAGTTCTCAGGAAATGGTAGTGGATGACCCAGTAGTCATGCCCTGTTCTCCTTTCTCCTGCACTCCCACCCTCCTTTCAGCCTCGGCTTTCATCATAGCCATGCTCCTGGCCAGCCTGAACAGCTGCTGCAACCCCTGGATCTACCTGCTCTTCACCGGCCACCTTTTCCACGAACTGGTGCAGCGCTTCCTCTGCTGCTCCTCCCGCTACCTGAAGGGCACCCGGCCAGGAGAGACGAGCGTCAGCAAAAAAAGCAACTCGTCGACCTTTGTGCTGAGCCGGCACAGCTCCAGCCAGAGGAGCTGCTCGCAGCCATCCACCGTGTGACCAGCCTGGGTGGGTCGCGACTGCCTCCCTGGGCTCAGAGTGTGCTGACGCGGGCAGTCCACCCCGCGGTGGCCACGTACGGTTGTGAATAAGGTACCTTTCAGTTCGTATGACTCCATTACCTCAGGGTAGCTCGAGAGGGGTGGGGAGGAGGTCTCCATGATGGAAGACGATAGGGTGATCAGCCATCAGACCGTCCCTGGGTCTCCCCAGGCTCCCACAATACTTCTGCCCTGACCCCCACTGCTGCCCCTGGCTGGTGGATGGGTTGTCTTTTTATTCCTGGACCTATAGTTTCACTCCCATATCTTTTCATTCCTTTTTTCTGGGATCTTGTGAAAGGTGGTAAATATAGGATTGGTGACCAATTGGGGGAAGAAGCCTAGTGTGCTGAGCTTGGTGTAAAGGGACCTCAGATGGGGAGGGTGGTGCTAATGTCCTCCTCACCTCAAGTGCGTTGCCTTTGTGTGGACCGATCCTAGCATCCTTGGGTACCAGCTTGTCAGAAGGGGGCCCTAGGAACAGCAGATTCCCTCCTGAGACCATTTGGCACAAAACTTGTGTTAAAAATGCTTAATGGGCAGGGGGAAGCCTTAAAAGCAGTGAGTCATTTTTGGAATAAGGGCCCCACATGAAAGCTGACTGGCTTCGCATAATTTCAGTGCATATGTCCGATGAGCCTGTGTCTTGGAGCTGTGTGTGAGATGCATCAGTTGCCGCAGGAGCAATGCAGCTGAGAGAGGCTGTGGCCAGCTTCCCGTCAGCTGTTCTGGGCTAATTTGGGCCTTCGGTGCTGGGGCGGAGCGAGTGCCAGGAAAGCTGAACAGGGCCTCTCTGGGGCTAGAGTAAAGCCAGGCTGGTGGTCAGATGGGATGCTTAGGGCACACCGTCCTCAGTCCACCCTCTGTGAGTCACAGTGCTGAGTGGAAATTGAGTTGTTTCCATCTCCTGAGGGTAAAATTGCCCAGTAGGGGACGTTCGCTTTCAGTGGGTCCATTTTTGCTCCTTTCCTCTCCTTGGCATGTAGAAGTCCCCACTTAGAGATGATCCCTGGTCCCCAGCCGCAGGCCCATCAGAGCCTCCCCAGATGCTGCCGTTCCCCCATCCATGGAGTGCCTGTCTTGTACTTCTCCCTTGCCTACCAGTATTTGTGAATCCCTTGAAGGCAGGTCCCCAGGGCTGAGTAGAGAGACCAGGAAGGATACATGAGCACCTCATTTCCTTGGCGTCCTCTAGAAATGCCCTCAGCTCCAGGCCAGGGACCAGCCCTCCCGCTCATCCTGCCTTCTTGGCGGGGGCCTGAGAGTAGTGTGCATGCGCTCAGGGCTCAGCCCCGGGGGGAAGGTGTTGTTTCAATGGGGGGCAGTGGAAGAAATGTGAGAGCTAGGACTCCACACGGAGACTGTGAACGCTGTTCTTTCCCAAGGTTGCAGCCACCTCACCTCCCCTTTTGGATTTCTCACATCACTGGCGGAGTAAGTTTTCCCAAAATGGACTATCTGGAGGTCTTGTGGGATCACACAATCCACTCCCAAGCATCTGGGCTAAATTTTTTTTTTTTTTAAGTTCTTGAAGTTAAGAAAGAAAAGGCAAAAGACAGTTTCTTTAATCAACCTGTTATCCGGAGTCCCCAAACCTTGGACTTAGCTGATCAAATCTCATATCCATTAATAACAATACTAGTAATAATAGTCATCATCATTTGAATAAATACTTGGCCATTTACAAAGCCCTTTTATACTATTTTCTTTTCAATCTCTCAGTCTTTGTGTCCCTTCCATTTTACAGGTAAGGATGCTAAGGCTCAGACAGGAGATGTGACTCAGAGAATGATTACCTGGGCAAGGAACTCAGAACCCAAGTGCTGGCATGTGAACCCTGTGTTCCTGGCCCCCTCTTACCTCTGAGCCAGTGCTCCACTGCATCACATCTCAGAATGGCTTCCTCTGCAACCCCCGAGGTGCTGGCTGCCAGGCCCACCTTTCTGCGGGGAGTGGGGTCATTTCTGACTTCTGGTCCTCCTTTTCTTTGTACTGAGTAATCATTGCTCTTCTCTGTGGAAAGTGTGGCCTGGGGGCTGTTTCCCTGGGAGTTTGAAGCTGGAATAGCCCTTCAGAGAAGCTTGAATTGAGGCAAAGGAGTGGACCTTTGTAGGTAGGATGGAGCAGTCATTGGATGTGGGCTTTCTCTGGGATGGGGTATTACCCTTTGGCCAAAGGCAGTGCCCTGTGGGGGCCTCAGTGTGAGCTTCGGCCCCAGCTCTCTGGCAGCTGGCAGATGAGCGCCTGGATCCAAAAGCAGGACCCGGGCCCGGGGCACCACAGATGCCCTGTGAACCTGCTGGACTCTGCTTGGGGCAGTGCTGGTGTAAGGCACCTTTTCTATCAGTACCCTGTGAGCAGCTACCCAATGGGTGGCTGTTTTTGAAAGAAGACGATCCACCTGGTAAGGATGTCAGTATAGAGCACCCAGCAGGGAACATGGCCCTAGAACTTGGGGCTGGAATGCAGGTGGGCATTGAGAGGGCAGCTCTCAGGTGTGGAGACAGCAGCTTCTCCCTGCTGGGATGTCCAGCCTCACGTGTGAGCTAAGACAGATCTCACGGTAAAATCTGCAGGGCAGGATCAGATACGCCCTGGGACCCCAAGACGATGGACTAAGACAAGAGCATTTTTACCTGCTGCTGGTTGAGACCAAAGACTGGTGGGGCTTCTAAACCTTCTTGTAGCCACCCTTCCCCATATGGAAGTGGCTGTGAGCAGGAGTTTGGGTGCGTTGTCTTCCTTGCAGGTTTCTGGAAGGGCCTCTGGTCCTCTGTCAGTGGGAGAGGTCTACTGTTTGCCAGATTTAAGTCCATTCAAAGAAACCCAGATTTCTTCCCCCCTTAACATGGAAGTACTTAAGATTCCTAAGTAGTTCTTAACTTAGGAAGTAACTAGGAATTTTTCTTCCACTTCGAAGCTTAAATTTGTTACAGGCAGTGTCTTGGAATTGGCCTGTGATCCTTAATTTTACCTGACGCTCACTGAATCCTCAGTATGAGAGCTTCTGCACAGGGCCTCGTAGAACTTTATGCCACCTTTTTCCTGGGTGAGTCTCATTTGTTGCACTGAAGCAGTGCCCTTAGGGACATTCTCTGCAGAAATGCTTTCTGTGTTCCCCGCGGGAGGAGAGTAGATTCTCTGTTGCCACCGTGCCTTTGCCTATGCCATTCCTTCCACTTGGAACGCCCGTCTTCCCTTCTCTGCCTAGAAAGCTCAGAAGCATCTTCAGGTATCTACTCCATGGCTGGGTTCCACGGGGCTGGCCTGGTCATGCTTTGCTCTCAGAGTCACACCCCTCCACAGTGCGCCCACCTTACCCACTTCGAGCCCACCTCGTGGTGCTACTCACTTTTTTTGGGGGGTCCCAGTGCCGAGCCTGGTACCTGGCACACAGTTGTGAAGCAGCCAACTGCATACTGGGCCCTTACCTACTATGTACCAGGCACTCTTTAACCCTCGTAGCATTTCCATGAGGTTCAGGCATTCTTGTTACCCCTGTTAAAGATGAGGAAACAGCACTTTCTTGGGGAGTTGGCAGTAATTTGCTGCCAGTGGGGCTGGAATACAGACTAAGTCTGGCAGCTTCTGGACTCTGTGCTCTGATTCCGAGTGTAGGTTTTGGAGAGTTGCTAGGCGAGTGATGAATGAACAGGTGGCTGGGATGAGCACAGCTCCTGCTGATGGAGGCATGCAGCAGGTAAGCTGTGGTGAGAGGAAGGACAGGCAGCATTCCTGGCCGGGCTGAGCCGGGGAAGGCATGGGGAACAGGCCGAGGGCAGGCCCAGAGCAAGGACTGGAAGGAAGGCAGACTTGTCTCTTTAGCACTCCATCCTGTGACCCAGTGCTGGGTACCTGGGAAAGGCAGTTCTCAGGAAATGGTAGTGGATGACCCAGTAGTCATGCCCTGTTCTCCTTTCTCCTGCACTCCCACCCTCCTTTCAGCCTCGGCTTTCATCATAGCCATGCTCCTGGCCAGCCTGAACAGCTGCTGCAACCCCTGGATCTACCTGCTCTTCACCGGCCACCTTTTCCACGAACTGGTGCAGCGCTTCCTCTGCTGCTCCTCCCGCTACCTGAAGGGCACCCGGCCAGGAGAGACGAGCGTCAGCAAAAAAAGCAACTCGTCGACCTTTGTGCTGAGCCGGCACAGCTCCAGCCAGAGGAGCTGCTCGCAGCCATCCACCGTGTGACCAGCCTGGGTGGGTCGCGACTGCCTCCCTGGGCTCAGAGTGTGCTGACGCGGGCAGTCCACCCCGCGGTGGCCACGTACGGTTGTGAATAAGGTACCTTTCAGTTCGTATGACTCCATTACCTCAGGGTAGCTCGAGAGGGGTGGGGAGGAGGTCTCCATGATGGAAGACGATAGGGTGATCAGCCATCAGACCGTCCCTGGGTCTCCCCAGGCTCCCACAATACTTCTGCCCTGACCCCCACTGCTGCCCCTGGCTGGTGGATGGGTTGTCTTTTTATTCCTGGACCTATAGTTTCACTCCCATATCTTTTCATTCCTTTTTTCTGGGATCTTGTGAAAGGTGGTAAATATAGGATTGGTGACCAATTGGGGGAAGAAGCCTAGTGTGCTGAGCTTGGTGTAAAGGGACCTCAGATGGGGAGGGTGGTGCTAATGTCCTCCTCACCTCAAGTGCGTTGCCTTTGTGTGGACCGATCCTAGCATCCTTGGGTACCAGCTTGTCAGAAGGGGGCCCTAGGAACAGCAGATTCCCTCCTGAGACCATTTGGCACAAAACTTGTGTTAAAAATGCTTAAGTTTGGAAAGAAAAAGAAAAGTCCCCTAAATTGAAGGAGTAAAACTTTCTGTGGGTGACATGATTCTGTATGTAGGAAATTCTAAGGAATTCATATACACACATAGGGACCCACATGGCCATCAGAACTAATAAATGACTTCTGCGAGGTTTCAGGGTATGGGGTCAGTATTCAAAAAATCAATTGTATTTCTTTATACTAACAGAACAATATTGAAATGAAATTAAGAAATAGTTCCATTTATAATAGCATCAGAAATTATAAAATTTAATACATTTAATGAAATAAGACAACTTGAAAACTACAAAATGTCACTGAAAGAAACTGAAGAAGACTTAAATGGAAAGACACTCTGTATTCATGGATCAGAGACTTAAATATTGCTAAGATGACAATATTCTCTAAATTGATCTACAGATTCAGTGCCATCCCTGTCAAAATCCTAGTTTGCTGCTTTGCACAAACTGATCCTAAACTTTGTATGAAAATGCAAGGGACCCAGAATAGCCAAATAAACCTCGCAAAAGAGGAACCACGTTGGTGGATGTGGGTGGATCCACTTTGAGGCTTCAAAACTTAGTGCGAAGCTACAGTAATCAAAAGAGTGTAGTACTGGCATGAGCCTAGACATATAGACCAGTGGAATCTCAAAGAGAATACAGATATAAGCCCTTAGATTTACAGCCAATTGATTTTTGATGTGTGACAAGAGAATTCAATAGGG